GGGGGAGCTTTGGAGTGGCAGCCGGTCTCCTCCCAGCCTAACCACAGAATTAGGGACCGAACTATGGATTAGTCAATATTCTTTATAGCACTCGGATGAGGATAAAGAATATGATTGCTCCTATTTGGCACAAAACAATTTTTATATATATTTCATATATATATATATTTCAAATGATTTTAATTTCTTCACAAATCATATACTCATTGTAAAGGGGAAAGATGCTTTCTTAAATTTGAACTTTTCGTCACAACAAAAATTTGTTTAATTTTCATAATTTTACTTTTAAAAGTTTAGTATTTAGTTTACTTTAATTTCTGTAATTTAACATCTGCATTTTAATTAGCATTCACCTGAGTAGTCAATTTTCAAATTTTATACTTTACTTTTATTTTTTATTTTTTGTTTTTATTATAAAGTAATTTTCATAATTTACTTTAGGATTTTTCAACTTCCCTATGGGATTGATATCTAGGACTCCATTAGAGCACTTTATTACTTGAACAATACGTATACTTGCATTGATATTTAAGAGAGATTTGGTAGTTTAAAAAGTGTTTTAAAGGATAAATTATATTTATGAAACTATTTTTGTTAGAATCATATTACATATATATTATAAATCTGTCTGCATCGATTTTTTGGCGTCGTTAAGTGGTGTCAATTTCATAAATATTTGCATATACGAATATCTGTGTCACCACGCTAACGGAGCAAGAAATCATTTGGAAAGAATTTTCCTTGTCAAATTTGTAGATAATGATATAAGAGTGTTTTGTTGGTCATTTTAAGAAAATAGAGAGACTTTGAATGGCTGGAGGCAAAGATTTGGAAGAAATTTGAATAGTTCCCTTAGGCTTTCTTCACTCCTTATGTTCAAATGTTAAGGGTTGGGTATTTCATTTTGAGTATTTTTCAGTTTGAGGGAGTTATCGTATGAGAGGGAGAGATGCTGCTCTTGTAGAGAGGATAAGCCTTTATTGTTAGTTCTTTCCTTTATATCTTGCAATGAAAATCTGCAATGGATTTCTTGTCTATATTTTTCTCAAGAATGTGTGGTTAAAATCTTTTTCGTGTCATTGTAATGTAGAGGAAGTGGTTTTTATTGTGGTTTTCTGAGATATTTTTTCTGTAGAGTTTTCAGTGCTTTCTCGGCCATTGTTTTCTCTTAACCTCTGAATTTCATTTACTCCTAGTTTCGCCAACTATGATGCTAAAATATATCATGAAGTTATGACATTTAATTGTTGTGTAGTGAAAACGAAAGAGTTAACCACAGAACCCTGAGAGGATAAGCATATTCTAGTAGGATTCTACAACCTTTTCTGGGAATCAAAAAATTCTTGTGGAATGTCATGGAGATTGAAGAAACCTCAACTTCATGGATTCTAGTTTTTTTTTTAATATTTTTTTACCTATATATAGGTATAAGAAGAACTTTTTATCCCTGGTTGATAATTAGCACGTAGGTAAAAATTTAGAAACACCACAGTCCACATGATCTCTGAATCACAGACACGAGCGTCGTCATTCTTGAAGAACTTCTAAGATTTTCTCCGTTTTTTTGTTTTTTACTGTCTACAATCTGATATATTTTTGTTATAATTACAGAACTTAAACCTATTTTGTAATCACACCCAGCTAGGTTCACAAGATTAGTAAACTAGAGATTTTATGCCAGAATAATTCTTAAATATTTTTTCGTTGGACCGATATGCAGACTCTTAATCTGCATATTACTTGACACGTATATTTGCGTTGTATGACCTACTTACTTTACGGTATGTTTTGGCGCATCACCTTACAGTAACTTAAAAAAAGATATTATGAAGATCAAGCATAGAATAATAAACCTTAGCACTGAAGCATTACTCAAACTGATTAATACATCACACAAATTTATCATTAAAAAATATTTTAAATGTCTCACCTACATGCTTATTTCTACCATTTACTACTAGAGACCATTGAAACCCTAAAGAATAGGAAAAAATAAGAATTTGTAGGAAAGACAATGAGAGGAAGACCTACTATAGGATAATAAAATGATGATGCTGAGAAACCCAATCACTTGTAACCTTAGATGAGAAAGCGTCATCGTAACACGACTATTGAGAGGAAAAGAAGTTAGATGAAAAACACTCAGAACAGAGGGGGATAGAAAGAGTTTACATCAAACTTTATATTAAAGAAGCATTGACAATATATTGAAAAGTGATCAAACATTCAAAAAATATATCAAATTTAAAATCATTCTGCTTCATCTTAAGTCCATCAGACATGATACATGATTTAATCAACTGATAAAAAACCCTCAATTGTGGTGTATAATAAAATAATTCTCACCAACATTTCTCATAACACGAGTACACTCACTTGATGAAGAAGACAAAAATCTCAAGCCTTCTAAGACAAATAAGAGAAACAACTTTAAAAAATAGCACAAAAAAATGATTAAATAAATAATAAAACATTATCTATTTCAGAAGTTCCCCAAAAAGATATCATCAATTTACCAAGGTAATACTTTAAATTATTGGAAATGAGCCTCTCATGATTTCATCCTTCACTTCACCTCTCTTCTTCTCTAACCTCAATTCCTTCTTAACTCCTTCACAAAAAGCCCAACATTGGCCCCAAGTTCAATGCCAATAAAACTTTTATATATCAACTTATATCATCACCAACCTAATGCAATCCTACTTGACATGCAAAATCATCCAAGTCATTTTTTGCACTTCATCATTCTGTAAGGAAAATATAATATTGTCACTTAGCTTAGAAGTATTTGAGTAATCAAAATACTTTAAAATGGGGTCATGTGCTCATTAAAAATTAATAATGAAAAAATATAATTACCCTCAAATGATATAATTTTAAAATAATCAATTCATTTTCATAGGATAAGTTTTGACTTCTTATATCAAAAAAAGAAAAACCATAATAATATAATTCCATATAACCAATAAATTAGTTTAGTTTCCTCACCATGACCCCTAATAATAATTTGTTTTATGATGCCATAAATTTAAAATCAAAATGCAATAGCACGCCATCTAACTATAACTAATGTTAATACAAACAGAATTTAACCTCTCCATAGAATTCCAAGCTAAATCTATTTATAGCCATTTTTTTTACACAAGAAAAATTGAGAACCTTTATTTTTTTGTTGACTTGATTCTAATTAAACATTTTAAGCTTATCAAATCCAAATAAAACTTGTGTACTATAAAAATACTTTTCATATAAGAGAATACATATAATAATAACAGTATGATACTGACATCAAATTTTATAGTACTGAGTTTATAAAAGAACTTAGCATGATGTTTATGGTAGAGGGAGCTTGTGCAAGATGACATCAACACCATGTTGAGGTTGAAGAGTTATAACAGTACAAGGAGCATGGGCATAAGATGGGGACAACTGGACTGAAAAGCGCTGTAGAATTCTTGCCAAAGCCATTTTTGCTTCTGTAAGTGCAAAGCTTTGGCCGATGCAGATTCGAGGACCCCAACCAAATGGAAAATAGATGAGTCTGTTCTTTGTTGCCTTCGATACTCCTTCAGAAAACCTATCAGGGTTGAATTCTTCTGCATCCTCACCCCAAAACTTCCGACTATGGTGGAGAAGAAGGATAGGCAATAAAATTTGCACTCCTGGTGGGAAAGTATAATCTCCAAGCTTCATTTCTTTGTAAGTTTGACGAATAAGTGCAACTCCTGGTGGATATAATCTTAGAACCTCATAAAGAATCATAGTCATCTGAAAAAGGATATCCAATCAGAATATAACAATCAAAGCATCAGTTATAGGAGCTTTATGTGTGTTTCAAGGAAATAAGTGTATCACATTAAAAATATTTTTATTCAAAATAAAATGATATTTGGTATAAACTACACCATATTTAAATAATCATAGAACAAATATACCATGTGATATTTTGCATTTATATTTAAAAATTCTATATTTTATGATAAGTATCTTCTTATTTGGAAAAAATATTTGTATATCCTAATGCAAGTTCATACCAAGATAGTATGAGTCCAATTTTTCCAACAATGATGTATTCCATATAAACAGTAGTAAAATTTGAACTAGTTAATGAATTAAGAGCTACTTTTCCCGCTACATTCATAAAGCTAATGCCTTTTTTTCCTTCAAATAATAAAAAAATAAGGGAAATTTACATAAGCACCACACAATTCTTATGTATTTACATATCTAACACTCAAATTTGATGTTTACACTTAAAACACCTTGGCATCATAAATATACCACCTATGCATGAAAACGAGTATTTTATTTTTAGGAAAAAAGGGTTGTAGTATTTTTTATGTGATGTTAAAGATCAGAGTAATATGCATGTAAATATGAATATTTAGGTGTTAGACATATAAATATAAAAGATATGCATGGTATGTATGTAAATGCCCCTAAAAATAAATTAAAGAATTGCACATATATGAAAAACAACAAATACATTGGTACTTACAATCTTCAATTGGCTTAACCCCTCGAAAGTTGGTTTGTTTTGGCCAAACACTTGTAAAACCTCTCTTCTTGCTTGATCCTGCCAGTTTGGATGCATACTGAGGACAACCATGGTCCATGTAAGAAGAACAGATGTTGTTTCATGCCCAGCAAAGTAAAATAGCTTGCACTCCTCAATCACATCTTCTCTGGTCAGACTAACATCTTGCATGTGATCTCCTTCTTGAGCATGCCTTTGGTTTGATTCCATCAACAAGCCCAACAAGTCATTAGGAATAGCTTCACCGTTTTTTATTGCATGCTCCCTCCGTTCAATCATGATTTTAAGCAATGCAATAACCTCACCATAAATTTGGTTTCTTCGCTTGTTCTTTGGAGTGGGTATAAATCTACAGTTCAAATGATTGATTTTGTTCTTGTAATTAAATTACAAAATCGACTGCAACTAAAAATACCAAATTTTGACTAGAATAAATTAAAATTAAATTTGAAAATTCATTTTTTCATCAAACAATCAATAAAACTTTTCTTTCTAATAAATACAATGATTCTAAATCTAATTTGTCAAAGATGAATTTGCGATAGATTCTTCAATAAAAAGCATTCATGAACGTGAATCTAAAGTTGAGCATCAGTTAAAACTTGAATCGAACCTAAGAAATAAAACTAGATTTAAACTTAAAATTAAATAAAAGCATGAGATCAATGTTGAATGTCAATTTGAATCAGAACATGAATCTACCATTACTAGTGAAATTGAACATTTTGGCTTCTGACTTCTGAAGTTGTGGAATAAAGTAGAATAAAGTAAAAAAAAAAAACCTTAAAACACAATTCAACGCAAATTATTAACAAAAAAGCAACAGTTAGCATATTGATATTGATTGTTAAACTGGATCTTTGCTTTTTATTATAAATTTATAAGAAGAAACTAATGGAGAAAGAAAAAATAAATCAATAAATGAAATGATTTGTCATGATCGGTGTCTCTAAGAAAACGAAAAGTCGAATTCCATCTACATAGTTGAAATCGAAGTATATAACACACCATTACTAACCTTATGTTATTCTATCTAGTTTTCATCAAGGAATTTGTCCAACCATGTGATAGATATATTTATATTTGTGGTCGGTTTGAAGAAAACTTCATTAAACATGGTAAATGATAAATTTATTTTTTTAATCTACTCCTGGAATTTGTTATAGTATGTTCATTGAGAAAACATAAATAATTCAACTTTTTCTTTATTTGCATCATATCCTATTATATTAATGATTATTTATATGCATGATTTGCATAAAGCTTATTGCTAATTATGATAATTAAAATACACTACATACGTGAACAATAGATATGTATGTTGAAATTTAGAATAATGCGGAATAAAGTGAGATTATTTTCATTAATATGAGAGGGGGGTATAAATAACCCTTCCATGATCCTAGAAAAGAAAAACTAATAAAAAAGAAAATAAAATAAAATAAAAGATATGTCACCTAATATATCTAATTAATTAATTCATATTAATTATTTGGAGATAAAAAAAAACATAAAATTGGAAGGCCTAAAATAAGAAAGGAAATAACTCCTAATCCAAGAAAATAAATATAAAATAGGAAAGAAAATAACTCTGAATATAAGGAAATAATTGATTCATAACTTCTCACAAAGAATAAATTATTTCCTAATATAACTTTTATCACTCTCTCTCAAATTGAAACATGGTTGAAAATCATGTTCAACTTGAATTTGAAAACATGAAACAATGGGTGCAGAAAATCCTGTAAAGTAGAACTTTGAAGTCTTCATCCCGTACTTCGGTCATCATTGACTGTAGTTCATGCACTGTCTATAGACAGGGAGAAGGTTCCTACAGATAATGTTGCAGGGGAGTTTGCAGGAAGTAGATAACTGCAGTTATCTTTAACTGCAGTTCCTGCAAAGTCCGTAGGTAGGAGAAAGGCTCCTACAGGTAATGCTGGGAGTTTGTAGGGAAGTAGTCAACTATGGTTGTTTTTTACTGCAGTTCCTACTGTGTTGTAGGTAGGCGTAAGACTCTTACAGGTGACATTGCAGGGGAGTTTGCAGGGAAGTAGACAACCTGCAAGAAAAACTAACTCCTAGTTGATTGTGGTTGTCTTTGAATGCAGTTCCTGCAGTATCAGTAAATAGGCAGAAGGCTCCTACAGGTAATGTTACAGGAGAGTTGCAGGGAAGTAGACAACCTCTAGAAAAAGCAGCGGGATATGATTTGCAGAAAAAAAAAAGAAAAAAAAAGGAAAAAAGCCCCGAACATAGGCCTTAGTGTGGGGAGAGCTCTGGAGGTGGACCTAATACAGCAAAAAAGCTTAATATGAGGGTCTATTGCAAGAAGAATTATGGTGGAGGATCTATTGCAGGAAAAGCTTTGGAGGAGGGCCTGATAAAGAAAAAATTTTGGAGGAGGGACTGTTGTAGAGAGTATGTTGCAGGAACGATTTCAGAGGGTCTGATGTAGAAAAAAAGTTTCGACGGAGTGCCTGATGCAGGAAAAGGCTTTCGAGGAGAGTCTGTTGCAGGAAGAATTCTGGTAGAGGATCTGCTCCAGAAAAAGTTTTGGAGGAGAGCCTGATATAGGAAAAAGTTCTGAATAAGGGTCTAATACAGAAAAAGGTTTCGGATGAAGGTCTAATGTAGGAAGAATTTCAGTGGAGGACCTGTTACAGAAAAAGCTTACAATGCTCACTTGAAGGTAAAGTGTTGTCATCATCCCATGATTGCTCAGCCTCAAGGATCAAACACCAAACTTGTTCGAAACAAAAGTCAGTTCCACTCCTTCAAAAATTCGTATACATCAAAATTGAGACCGACATAAAGAATAACTCTTATGACAGATGGATGTCAACCCTTGTACAGTGCACGGCAGCCCACATCGAGTTCAAAGACAGCGAACAATTCTCTAAACCTAAGAAATCCAGCCTACATCTCTCCAACCACTCCAATTCTATGGACACTGTCGTAACTCCATTGCAGGCAAGCAAAGCCAAATCAGACAGATTAGAGCAAGCCTTAATAGCATCCTTCAATGCATCATCACAATATGCTGCTTCAATGATCTCCAATGTCTTTAGCCTCTTAAAAACTCCCCAACTTGGAGACTTTGTTAAGGATACACCCCAATGCTTGAGAGCTTCCAAGTTATGTGCTGCACCAATGCATTCCACCCAACCACCGCATCCCTGCACTCTGCCCCCAAAGAAATTGTCAACTGTGTTGTCCATTCAAAGCTCCAGAATGCGAAGCAAGCTATTATGCAGGTATATCCAGGAGGCAAGGCTTGGTGCAGAAAAGGGGCAGTAAAAAGCTAGCTCCTCCAAGCAGATGACAATGGAGATTATTTGGGAGATTGTAGAATCTGCAACAGAGATGGAATGAACGGCATTTGTGTGGGAAGTAGAGTGATGGTTTGTAAGGAATACAATCCTTCCACCTCTTGGAGACAGCTGCAAGCAGCAAAATCTCGAGCATTGCTTATCTGCGATAGGATTTGTTGGATAATGGCATCAGATAACATATCCATCATTGTTGCAGCAACATTTTGCTACTTTCAACAAGAAAACCACACGAAAAAAAAGAGAAAGCTCCCACGAAATTGTTAAGGGGCATAAGTTCAGAAGATCAGAAACTGCGACAAGCCCCTCACAAATCCTCTTCTTAAACCCCCTCTCTTCCTTCCCTCTACCCGCAACCTTCAGGAACTGATACTAAAAAAAAATAATAGTGTGGTAGTTTAAATAAACAATCAATCCAACAAAAAACTTCATGGGCAACATAAATAAGCTCGGGGAGAGAAAGCGTCCCTCCCTTCCTGCAGGGAGAAGAGCAGGAAGGGAGTCCGGTGGCTCTAGAGGGAGGACCGGCAGCTAAGGTAGAAAACCTTGCTTTAATACCATGTTGAAATATAGAATAATGTGGAATAAAGAGGGCTTTTTTTCATTAATATGAGAGGGGGTATAAACCCTTACATGAATCTTAGAATAGAAAAGATAATAAAAAAGGAAATAATATGAAAGGAAAGCTATATCACCTATTTGGAGAGAAAAGAAAATAACATAATATTTGGAAAGCCTAAAATAAGAAAGGAAATAACTCATAATTCAAGAAAATAAATAGAAATTTATGAAGAGTAACTCTTATTCTAAGGAAATAATTTATTCCTCATAACTTCTAACAGGAATAAATTATTTCCTAATATAACTTCTAACAATGTGCAATTCAAATCAAGTGATGGGATAAAAAATTCATCTAGACTTGAAATAAGTCCTTCATCTTTTCGTGTTTTGTAAGTATTCTCTGGAGGTCTAGCAATGGGTGGGCAAGGCCTTCAACATAAATATCCTGGCTGGAGGCTTTTCTAGCTTAGAGGATTGTTTTCAGACTTGGAGTGTTATGTTCCAAGGGAAAGCTGGAATTCTTCCTATTATTCCATTTATTACATGGTGGTTTATTTGGATGTCTAGAAACAACTACAGGCATGAGATAACTAGAAGTTCTAAAACTACTTATATCAATATCTTGGCATATGTAAAAAATTATTAAATGTGGGAAGCCTAAGAAAGCTAATGTACTTGGTCTATCTAGTAGTGACAATTTGCTAAATGCGAAGGCCGCTAGCAGGTCCAAATATTCTCTGCAGCTGATTAAATGGTCTCATCCTGAGGTTGGTTGGATTAAAATCAACATTGATGGGAGTTTTGATAAAGGTGCGGCTGGGTTAGTAGGAGTGTGCAGAAACCACTTGGGAAATTGATTGGCCTTCTTCTCTGCTCCTAGTTTTGCTACTTTTACTCTTCATGCTGAATCTATGGCCCTATTGGAAGCTGCTAAGTTGGCTGCTCATGTTGGCTAGAACAAGGTGATTTTTGAAATGAACTCGATCACGCTCTAGAAATACTATCATGATAGTGACAATCCTCCTTGGTACTTATGTATTTCAGTCTCTTTTGCAAATTTTGCAGGGTAAACTTTGTAACTGGTTCCATATTTGTAGAGAAGGTAACCAACTTGCCGCCTTGTTGGTTATACTTGCTAGTAGATTTCGTAGTATTTGGGTGGATAATGTCCCTAGTGGTTATTTTTCTTTTTTTGCTTCAAGGGGGTAAGCCATCTTTGCCTTATATTAGAATTCCCCAAGTTTTGTACCTCTTTTTTTATTTAATTGAGGTTTTCTTGTTTTTTTTTTATAAGTCCTAAAAGAATTCTAAAAAAATTGACTCCTAGATTAAAAATTATCAAAAAAAATAATAAAATAAATTTGGATGAATACATGGGAGTAAAAAAACCCCAAAAAATTTAATATTATTATTTTCTAATTTTTAATGCAACCGGTTTGATTTTATATCATGAATT